TCTCCCGAGCTCTCCGTCGGCCTTGCTGCCGCAGGATGACGCTCAGTTTGTTTTTATTGTTTGATTTGTTTTTATATGAAAAAAGAGGGGGAGCGATTCCAAAAATAGTTCCAAACAAAAACGGGAGGAGGACTGCAGAGACTCCCGCGGGTCGCCCACGCGGCACGCCTCGCGGAGGGCGACGGCGCCGGCGGGCGGCGCTGCGCGAGCAGCCCGCGCGCGCGCGCTCGCGCAGCCGATCCCGCCTCTGCTCGTCGGTCGCGCACTTCGGGGATGGACAGACCCCCCTTTCGTAAAACGTGGCTTAGTGAAAACGACCTGAGGCCCAAACCTGGCGGGCGCAAGCCTGGAAAATAACGGCCGCGCCGCCCTCTCGAGAACCGAAAACGGACAAGTCACTAATCGACGTGTCACTGTTGGGGGTTCTGTCCACCCCCGAGCACTGCCGGCCGACGCCACGCCTTCGCCGCCGTCCGGCAAAACCGCACTGGCCCCCTCTTTCTTCAATGGAGTGACGCTCGACGGGTGCGAGGAAGGTCAGCACAGGGCGCAAGGCCCAAATGTCGGGCGCTCGTCTCGTTCGATCCGCCGCCGCCGACACCCCCGCGCGCGCCCCCGCACGGTCCCCACTGCTCCGCCTCCTGCCGCGACTCCCCGCCCGTCCCCCTGCCGTTCCTGGCCGCCTCCCCTCCTCCTCTGTCCCACTCCTGGTTCTGATCCTGCACCCCGCATCTCTCTCTCTCTCTCTCTCTCTCTCTCACATATATATATATATATATATATATATATATATATACATCCAGCTATATACACATATGCCCCTCTACCACATGTGCCACCCTCCTCCTCCTGAGACTCCCTCCTCCTACCTCTTCTCCTTCCCGCACTCGCCGTGGCCCTAATACCACGAACCACATGAAGACACATAAGACCGCGAAGAGCACGATTGACAGGCATCACCACGTAACAAAAACACCGAGGAAACGGTTCGTAAACACGTCAAGAAAGCGCACACAACATAATAATCGCATGAGCAAACGATGGACACAACTCGTACGAAGATCGCGCGAATCTATACTTACACCAAATAAACCCCATGTCGAAAGATGTTATGAAACATCCGCAGGTACTCCACGCCTTCCCGCTGTCCTTCTCCCTCTCTCTCTCATGGTCGTTATTATCAGTATCGTTATCTCTGTCGCTCTCTCTCTCTCTATCGCTCTCTCCATCCCCCTCTCTCTCTCGTTGTATCACTATTTCTCTCTCTATCCCTCTCTATGTGTAGACTTGGTGCTAACGTGCTAACATCATTTCTTGTAGCAAAATGGCTCTGCCCTCAATTCCTGAACCCCAAGCTACTCTTCATCCGAGAAGACCTGGAGCAACGGGAGACCTTACCGTGCCAGCAACCGTGGGCCCGATATCGGCGGGAAATCTCGACGTACTCTCTCAGTATCCGCTGGGAACCCTTCAATACAAACTCTGTTTGGGGAGTGACGTGAAGATAGAAACAATGAATAACGCTATCATCACAATATGGTTTAGAATGACAAAAGAACGCAAATGTCCCAAGGGCTCCCCAAGATAGCCTCATGGCCACTATTGAGGCTGCTCGGGCTGACCGTAACTTCGGTTTGACTGGTCCCTCTTGATTCCACTGCTGATCTGTTCCGCTACCCTTCTCACGACAACTTGCACACGAATCGTTTCTGGATGGGCTGGTGGGGAGACGCACAGCGTGCAGAAAAAGGGCCAAGCAAGGATCTGGAGAAACGCTCCTGTTCCTAGTGCGGTCGCCCGGACATGCGGCCGCTCCAATTTTCGTCGCTGCGTGGGCCCCGGAGGCCCGGACCACTTCCCCAGGGTGGGCTTCTTGTCCTGAGTTGTTTTCTGGCGCTCCCGAGGCCCGGCGGGGGCTCCCAGAGGCCGAAAGCGGCAGAGAATCCGCCGCAAGCTTTCCTTCTCGGAACGTCGGACCTCGAGGTTCCCCCCTTTTGGACGCCCGAAATGGGTACGGAACAGATGGGTACATTGCCCAATAGCACATGCTGTCCCCAACCAACAGCGGCCGCTGCTGACAGGCCGCGGCGGCGTGGACAGCGGGCCCTGTTCAAAATGAACCAAATCCGCTGTTGGGCATTGTTTGAGCAGGGACCGACCGTCCCGGCATTCCATTAGTCATACCACGAAATGTTTTTAGAACCCAACAGCGTTCTGAGAACAGAAACAATAATCTTAGAACATGAACCCGATGTGTTCAAACAAGACAGTCCCAGCCAGAAATGTTCTAAGAACAATTCGTGTGAACCACAAAACGTTCTTAGAACATGATTTGGTGGGGCTATAGGCGAGCCGGGACGCTTCGCCACTGCTTGAATTGTACCCATTCTTTCCGTGCCCACTTCGATCGTGCAGACCCCTGATTGGGGGGCGGAAAGACACGGATACGTGTTGTCCCCGGACCTCTCTTCGGGTGCGTTCTGACCAGAATTTCGAGGCGAATCCAGCGGTGACATCGAGGATTCCCCAGGAGGACCAGGAAAGGCCGAAAACGACGGGGGACAACACGTATCCGTATCTTTTTCTCCCCCGACCTGAGGCAAGAGCACTCCTGCCCCTGACCTGGCCGCCAGACTCCGCGCGCCGCGCCGAGCGAAGAGCGGGCAGCCTCCGCGCTCCTGCGCGCCCCCCGCTGCGGAAGGGCGACGCTCTCCGGCCTGGGCCACGAAGCGCGCCCGTCCGGCTGCAAGCAGAAGGGGTCGTACCGAATTGCGCAAGACCGTAAGACGAAGCCAGACGGAGATAAATTCAGGTCGGGCATGTCCTCCTACAGGGGGATTGTGGACGACGGATGAAACAGATACGAAGCAGATGCAACTAAGTGCACAAAAATACTAAACACATCGTCCCCAAACTATTTGTTTGCCTATGTTTGATCATTCCTCCTGTAGAGGGACAGGCCCGACGTAAAGCCAGGACGAAGATCAACTCGAGGGGGGATACATCGAGCATCTCTGAGATCCGGCGGCTCTGCAGGATGTCTTGGGCGCCGCGGCCTCCTCAGAGCGTCTGGGAGCTCTGAGAGCGTCCTGGAGCGTTCTGGAACGGATGTATCCTCGCCCCGGCCCCGCGAGAAAATTTGGCAAGAGTGACCTTCGGTGCAAGTGCGGGCAATACTTCTGTCCATATCCACTGCAGTATGGAAATTCGGGATCCCTTCCGCAAAAACCCGAGGCGCACTGAATGTGGGTATTTTTCCCCAGGGGGCAATATATGATCCGTGTGTCTTTCAAATGCCACCAAACGTGACAGGATATCCCACCACGCTCAATGCTAAGGGAAGAGCCAATGCGGAAGACCACCAATTATCACATTGAGGTACAAAACTTGCAAGAAGAGATGACCCATCGGAGAAGCATACGCGTGACGATATGAGTGAGGAACAACTTGCTTCCAAGGAACACTGAATGTGGATAAATTGGCCCCCCTACATCCAGTGCGCCTCGGCCTTGTAGCGCCCCCTCCAAGGCAGCCCAAGACGCACCGGATACGAAAACAGATCCTGCCCGCAGCAGGGCTTCAGGTGGCCGCGGGTGACCCAAGCCAAGGCCACTCATTGCAAAAGGTAAGTCTTTCGCGCAACCAGCCCAACCCGCCTTAGGATCATTGAAGGGGAACTGGGACACACACATTAATACACACAAATAAAAATATCCCCCATATTTTTACATATGTTCTTGGTTTTTGTCTTCCCGCCCACTTCCCATATGTTCCCATAGTTTCTGGGAATCGCCGATTAATAGTGTCTGTGTGTTTGTTCCCCTCCTGAATCATCGGCCTCGTAGCAGTGAATGTTCGGAGGACCCCGCGGACTTCTCGGCTCGGCGCTTGGGCCAGACCCCCCCCCCCCCCTTGGCGCGCGGAGCGCGCCAGGGGCGGCGCCCACGGAGCCGCCAGAGGGGCCTCAACGCAGATCCAGGAAGTTCGCGCGGAATCCCGAAAGCGTGCGTTTATTCAGCTGCTGTTCTCCGACAGCCCCCCCCCCCCTCCTCTCGGGCCGGGCGAAGGGGGGGATAGCAGAGGGGGGGTCTGCGAATCAGCCCACGTAGCTGATTCTCCCGGCGCCTCCAGGCGCCGGAGGCGGCCGTGCATCGAGAAATGGGCCCCTCGGTTGGGCCGAAACCAGCTGCATGAAGCAGATTTCGTAACTCGGGGATGGACAGACCCACCTTGAGTAAAACGTGGAGTGAACACGACCTCGTGCCCAACCCTGGTGGGCGCAAGCCTGAAAAATAACGGCCACGGCGCCCTCTCGAGGACCCGAAACGGACAATTCACTAATCGACGTGTCACTGTTAGGGGTTCTGTCCACCCCCGAAACCGCCCCTTTCCCAATCCCCCCTTTCGTCTGGCCCGATCCTCGGACGAAAGCAGACAGAGGACACAATCCGGACGAGGACCACTCGGACACCTCCGAGAGCCCACAGGTCTGGAGCACGGACTGGCGCCCCGGCCGCTCCGGCGCGCTCCAGAGCGCTCCGCGAGGCCATTCCAGGGAGCCCTCGAGCAGCTGATCCTCGTAGCCCCCCCTGACCTCCCCCTCCCTCGGGAAACCCACAGGTGGCGATGCCGTATACTCCCTGGGACCTCTCCCGGAGCGCGTCCTGACCGGGACTTCGAGGCGGCTCCGGCGGTGGCCACGAGGACCTCACGGAAGGCCCACCATGGGAGGAGGAGGAGGAGGAGGAGGAGGAGGAGGAGGAGGAGGAGATTGGGGAGACGAGGCCTGTACTATGAGAGGTGAGAGGAGGGGAGAAGACGAAGGAGGAGGATGAGGAGTAGGAGGAGGAGAATACGAAGGAGGAGAAACTGGGATTGCAAGGCGGGAACGGAGAAGAACCGCGGCGTCGGTCCTCTGACGCCCCCCCCCCCTCCCCCGCCGCTTCCACCCTCCGATCTCGCGGCGGCGCGGGCGCACCGCACCCCCGCCGGGGGGCCGCTCCTTGGGCGCACCGCGCTGGAAGTCGTACACGTCCGCCAGGTGTTCTTTTCTTGGTGCCGGGAGGAGGGAGGAGGGAGGAGGGAGGAGGGAGATATGGATGAGGGGAGGGGTGAGGAGGAAGAGGGGAGGAGGGAGGGAGGAGTAGGGTGGAGTGTAGGGAGGTGGGTGGGAGGAGGAGAGGAGGAGGAGGGGAGGAGGTGAGGGAGAGGAGGAGGGATGAGGGAGGAGGGCTGAGGAGGAGGAGGAAAGGTGTGTATGGATGGAGGATGGGAGGAGATGCAGGCATGCTGAGGGGAGAGGACGAACTGAGTAGTAGGAGGAGTAGGATGTTGATGAGGAGGACGGAGGCTGATGATTAGTTGAGGAGGAGGAGGAAGTGAGATGCGGAGGAGTGGGGCGGGAGGGAGGTAGGAGGGGAGGGAGGGAGGGAGGGAAGGGAGGGAGGTAGGGAGTGCGTGATTGATGGGAGGTAGATGAGGAGGCGGAGGATGAGAGGAGGAGGAGGATGCTGTAGGAGAGGAGGAAGGAAGGGGGATGAGAGGCGAGGAGGGAGGAGGAGGAGTATGAGTATGAGGGGAGGAGAGATGAGGAGTAGGCGGGAGAGGATGAGGAAGGATGAGGAGGCGGAGGAGGATGATGAGGCTGTAGGAGGGAGTAGGCGGAGGAGGAGGGAGGAGGGAGGAGGAGGAGGAAAGAGGAGGAGGAGGAGGAGGAGGAGGAGGAGGAGGAGGTGGAGGAAGGCGCCGCTCGGAGGCAGCGGCCACGGCGGCGGGGGGGCGAGCGGGCGCGGCCCGCCGCCGCCGCGCGCTCCCGGGCGGCGCCCCTGAGATCAGGGTGTGGCAGTGTCTTCCCACGGGGCCCGGTTTCGGGCCTCAGGGCCAACACTCTGGGTGACCCAAGATCGGGGATGGACAGACCTCCCTTTCGTAAAACGTGGCTTAGTGAAAAACGACATGAGGCCCAAACCTGGCGGGCGAAAACCTGGAAAATAACGGCCGCAGCGCCTCCTCCTCCTCCTCCTCCTCCTCCTCCTCCTCCTCCTCCTCCTCCTCCTCCTCCTCCTAATCCTCCTCCTCCTCCTGCTCTTCCTCCTCCCCCCTTCCTCCTCCTCCTCCTCGTCCTCGTCCTCCTCCTTCCTCCTCCTCCTCCTCCTCCTCCTTCTCCTCCTCCCATGATAGGTCCATCTTGTAGTAGATCGTTTTCCGAACGATGTCGCCGGAAAACGCCCGCCACGACGCATGTACTGTCAGATTTCTCGGCGCGCGCGTCGCCCCTGGGGGGGGCGACGCACACAGAGTATTAGTAATTAGAACACCCATGGAGGTCAGTGCGCCTCAGCCCTCTGCTACTTAGCACGAGGCCCTTGGAATGGCCAGGCGGACGGGGCGGGGGGTATGGCTGAGTGGAGGCAGGGAGGGGGAAGGCAGGCGGGGAAGGGGGGAATGGAGGGGTCAGGGGGAGGGGCATGGAGGGCGGATGGGGGATCGGGGAGGAGGCTGTTCTGTTGCCGAGCTCCCACCGCGGCAAGAGCAGCCCGCGCACACCTCTCGTGGCCCGGGCGGGGCCACGCGCGGGCGCCGCACGGGGCCCTCGCTCTCGCCTGCTGGGCTCTCGCGGACGGGGACGGCCGATCGGGCCCGCAGGAACATCACACCGAAGGCCACCCCAACCTGAACATGCGAGAACCTCAAACTTCTTCAAAAACCTACGGATGGTCAATGGTGTTGGCCTCTCCGGGCACTCCTGGGAGGCCTCTTGAAGACCTATTGGGCCGTTTTTTTGCCGCACTTGCTGGCAGTCACGGAACAAGTCAGTTACTCCCGACGGCGAAGAAGCCGACGCGCCAAATGCGCGCCAACCGCGAGCTGCAACAAACGCGCGCTGAGAATGAAAATGCGGTAGGATGGAGGGAAAGCACGACCGATTGAAGGCCGCCTCGGAAGATAGGGCTAGGGATCAAAACGATCAAAAAAGCAACTGTGTATCTCAGTTCTTGTAGTACAAGACCACAGTCCAGCGCTGTACATGAGCTGCTACCTTGGGCTGCAGCTCGCTGGATATTGCTGCGTGAAAGGCGCTGCTACCCTGGGCTGCAGCGCCATGCTATTAACTGCCCCCGCATTATCTATCCCACACGGCACTCGAACGAGAGATGGATCCTCCCCGACCCTCCACCACGGCCGACCCCGCCAGCTTCCTGGAGCCTCGTCCCGCAAACACTCTGCACTTTGGGACCCGGGCGGGAGAAGACTCACAGCGTCATGATGTCTTTGCAACCCTTGTCTGGGGTGGTGGCCGCAGTGTGGTCGTCCTCCCCGAGGAGGCCACCCACTGGGACCCTTGTCTCGTACAGCCCCTTTATGAAGATGTTGAGGTATTTCGTGTTCTGGGCTGTGCGGCCATGTACAATTTTGACCTTGACCACATTGTGGAAGGTCATCCACGTTGGTTTGGCCAGCCTCGTAGCCTCGGCGTCCCAACGCAAGCCCGTTGCCCTGTGACGACGAGCCCACGTGCCGCTGAGGTTGACCTCCGTAAAATATAGATCAGCGCACCCACTCCCAGCGCGACTCGCCCTCGCCTCCACGAGGAAATTAATCCGACGCCGCTCCGACCTGGGGATTTGAACCAAAGTGTGGTACCAAGCCTGAAGCAGGTCAAACTTCTGGCCGAGCGTGTTGGCGAGATGCGGGTCGCCGATGCCCTTGACCATTGGGCCGCTGTTGATGGGCGCCTCCGTGGGACTCGGCGTCGGACTCGGCGTGGGGGACGGCGTCGGGCAACTGAACGTGACGCTGTGCACTGCTAGGACGGTATCCCACTCATCGACCTTAAGAACATCGCCATTCACGAAGTTCAGAGTCACCGAAGCCCTTTCATATTTCGTCAAAGTCCTTTGGAGATTGTTATTCAGATACAACCTCACAACCCCTCTGAAGCCGTCGGTGCCCCAAGTGTTTTGGAAATCAATTGTCGCAGAGCCGGACCCATGGAGCGTCTGAGATACCGAAAAGACGGTGTACGAACTGAAATGGCCGCAGATCTATACTCCAGATGGGCACCCCCAATTCGGATTATGGTTCCCACTCGGAATGACCCACCCGTAGCCGCCGCACGACGTCTCCGTCGCCAGCGCCACTGGCACATTTGACGAGGCAAGCGCATTCTGAGACTCGACCCCAATCGATTTTGAAAAGCGGACGCAGGTAATTACGCTCGGCAACAGTAAGACAATAAGGCACGCATACAAGCCGTGCGTCATTGTCGCGAAGAAAAGTTCGGAAACTGGATATGTTGTGCAGAGGATGTCCTTAATTGTGACAGCCCCGATGGCGCTGCTGCCGCTGCAGCTTGAGCCGAAATGGCTACGGAAGACCTATTGGGCCGTCTTGGAGGCCTCTTGGCCTGTTTTGGGACCTTCTTCCGGGGATCTTTTAACCTGGGGTCAATCCAGACCCAGGTCAGTCAGGCCTTGCAGAATCCTGCAAGATTCGGCGGTGGACAAACCTCCCTTTAGTAAACCTCCCCCTAATGAAAACGGCCTGGGACCGAAACCGACGGACCTGGACCCGCAAAAGTGACGGCCGCGACGCGCTTTTTTTGCGAACAGAAAACGGCCAATTCGCTAATAGACGTGTCAGGGTAGGAGGTCTGTCCACCCCCGAACGGAGGAGGACAGGCGGGGGACCACCGAGCAGCCACCAGCAGGTTGGTGGGGCCTCCGCGGCGATGGGAGAGGAGGACCTGGCCATCGCTCGGACGTCTATTTCCTGTGTTTTTTTCGGTTTCGTGCGTGGCTTTTTTTCCGAAATGATCAAGGACGCTCCTCGATGGTCCTCGCCGAAGGAAAAATGCACACGTCCGAGCGATGCCAGGGGACGGGGGGGTGGAGGGACGACGGGGCGGAGCGAGGGGGACAGAGGAGGGCAAGAGAGGGAGGAGAGATGCCTCCTCTAACAGCGAAGAGCTGAGGCGGTCGCATCATCGTCCTCGCGCTCGCGTGCAGCGGGGTCGCGCTGACGTCCTGGAAGCGCGTGACGATGCGTGCCTCACACCAGAAGCCCTGCTCCTCCCCCTCCTGCTCTATTCCTCCGGCTCCTCCTCTGATCTCCCTTCCCCCCGCCTCCGCCCGCTTCCCCCCCCTCCCTCCTGCCTCTACTCCTCCTTCTCCCCCCTCCTTCGCTCTAGTCACTTGCAACGCACACCTGGGTCAGACCTGTGACGGCAAATCGTTGCCAGGGGAAACAACAGGTTGGTAATCCTGGGCCCGCCATGGTTGACGCCACTTCTACCGTCCATGCGGCTTCACACTGACATGCCCGACTGCCGCCATAAGAATGGATGGAATATTGTCCAGCACTGGCGTCGACACTGACCCAGCATGTATAGAACCACGACCCGCATTCGTCCATTGTATAGTTTACCCAATAAACAGTTTGTGCAAATCGACGACGGCACTGGTATCCACAACGGACTCACACCCACTATCAAAGATACGGGAATCCACCGAATCTGTCGGCGTGTGGAAGAGGCTGTTCCATTTGACTCGTCGTCGTCGTCGTCGTGGTCGTTGTCGTCGTCGTCGTCGCCTTCGCCGCTCTCTCCCCTTTCCCTAGGACCGTCGCCGCTCCCCCCACTTTCACCAGGCCCTCCTCCTCGAGCGCGCCAGCCACAGCGAAATTGAGCAACGTTGTAGTTGAGTCGAAGGGAAGCCCCTTCCCTTCGATCCCTTGGGGAGGGGTCCCAGGGAGGTCGCCACCCAAATACGACTCCCCCTGGGCGGTTGGGGGGCCCAGAAAAGCTCCAAGACGCGGCAAAAGTGCCCCAAGATGCCCCCGAGACGGTCCTCGAGGCCCGAAAATCGCCGAAGTGTCGGTCCAAGTCGCCAAAGTAGCCGTCAGAAGGCTTACAATCAAGTTCCAGAACGCCCCAAGAGGCCTCCAAGAGGACTTCCGAGAGGGCCCCAAGAGGCAAAAATCATAGATTTCCCGTAGGTGTTTGACAGATGTCGGCATTCTCGCCGCGTCAGCTTCCCGACGCTCCGAGACAGGCCAAGAGGCCCCCAAGACCGCTCCAAGATGGCCCAAGAGGCCTCCGAGAAGACACCAAAACGCGCCAAGAGGGCCCCAAGACCGCCCAAGAGGCCTCCAAGACAGCCGAAGAGGCTCCCAAGACGGCTCCAAGAGGCAGCCCAGACGGGGGCCCCGAACGGTCATTTCGAGCCCTCGGCCTGAGAAGCTCCCAGGAGGCCCCCTGAGGCCCCTAAGAAGCCTCCCAAGAGGCCCCAAGGGACCCCCAAGAGGCCCCCAAGAGACCCCCAGAAAGCCCCAATAGGCCCCCACGAGGCTCCCAGGCGGCCCCCAAAGTCCCTTTCAAGATGCCCTCAAACTACCCCCAAGAGGCCCCCGAAAGCGCTCGTCCTCCTCCTCCTCCTCCTCCTCCTCCTCCTCCTCCTCCTCCTCCTCCTCCTCCTCCTGTGTCATTGTGTCCCTGATGGCAACGGGGTTGGTCGAACGCTGTCGGTTCCCCCAGGGGGGCCCAGTCGGGCCCCCCCCTGAAGGGAGCACAACAAGAACGACAAAATTAGAGACCGCCGTCCAACAACTCACGGAGGAAAATAGGGGAACGGAAGGTGACATAAACATACAAACTCGGAGGTCCGCGCGGATTTCTCGGATCGGCGCTGGGGCCCCCCCCGCGGAGACTCCGGCGCCGCCCCTGGCACGCTCCGCGCGCCAGGGAGGGGGGTCCAGCGCCGATCCGAGAAATCCGCGCGGACCTCCGAGTTTGTACGTTTAGGCCACTTCTCGTTCCCCCAGAAGAGAGGGGAGAGGCGAGTGAGAGCCCCCAGAGAAGGAGGAGGAAACAAAGGGGGACGATGTGGCAGGCGGCGTGGCAGAGTGTGGCAGCGTGGCCTGTGGGGGGCCCGCAGGGTCCGTCGTCGTTCCTCCTCCCTTCGCGTCCCCTGGCCACCCGGGGCCAGTGCCCTGGGGGCGCCGTGGGGCCCCCCCCGCAAACACCCTGCTCCTCCTCCTCCTCCTCCTCCTCCTCCTCCTCCTCCTCCTCCTCCTCCTCCTCCTCCTCCTCCTCCTCTTCAAGTGTGGAAGGCAGGGAGTGGCTGGGAGTTGGCAGACGCGCCAGTTGCGGGGGCAGCTATAGCTAGCCGCAGCTGGGCGCCGCGGAGGCTGGCAGGCGCGATGGTAACGAGGGGAAAACAAACCTACCTCGCTTTTGACCACCCTCGTTTCCAAGAGATACCAAGCGGGGTAGGTAATTCACGCTCTGAGGCAAGAGGAGGAGGAGGAGGAGGAGGAGGAGGAGGAGGAGGAGGAGGAGGAGGAGGAGGAGCACAGACTGACAAGCCACGACTTGGAATGGCGGTAGTGAAGAGGCTGCCGGCAGTGGAGGTGGCGGCGCCCCGACGGTGGCGGAGCCTCTCCGCCCTCGCCGGCGCGGAGGGCGCAGGGGCCTCGCCCTCAGCTCATCGAGGCCCCCCACAGACGCCCCCAGGGTCAAAGGCGGGACCCCTCGCGCCTGAACAACAGGCGCAGGGCTCCCAGCGCACTGAGCTTGGGGCCGCCCGGGGGGTGTTACGCCGAGCGGGAGGTAGGCTTGCGCCCTCCAGGCGGCGGCGGGGCCCCCGACTCTCGCAGAGACGGGCGGAGGCTGCGCTCGCCAAGGCGAACGGCAAACGACACGCACATGGGACCCCCCCCGAAAAGTTCACCATCCCCATGGCCGGCCCCCCCTCTGCCGAAGCAGGGGCAAGCCACCCAGACCACGGGAAAAGTGGCCGCTTGGGGGGGGGTCCACCGTGACTGGGCGTGGTTTCTGCCACCGTGGCGGCGGCGCGCCGCGTGCGCACTGCACCCTGGCCCCCCCCCCTGGCGATGACATCTAAAGCCCATCTCCTGGACGGTTGGCATGCGGTTGTGGCGAGAGAACGCGCCAGCGTCGCGGCGTGAGCCGTCGTTGCGGTAGGAGGAGGCGCAGTCGTGGCGGCAGAGGTTCACAAAGATTTGGGTCGGCGCCCTGCTGACAGCTGCCCTAGTGGCGGCAGCGGCCGCACTGGCCCTTGCCAGGACGGCCCGCGGTTAGTCCGAAGGCGGAGGTTAGATGGGTGCGGTGTGGAGGTGGGTGGGGGGGCCAGGGCTACAGGAAGGTGAACCAGTAGAGAGTAGTTAGAGGTTGGTGGAGCCCCCACGCGCGGCGGGTGAGAATGCCCTTTGGAGGCCCACGCGATTCTCGCGGCAAGGATCTGAGCTCGACTGGAAAAATCCCCGTGGGGGCCGGCGCTGATCGCAGTTGCCACCGACGTTCACGCTGTCGATGCGCCAGAAAGAAAATCGGCTCCCGTGCCACCAGCTGCGCTGATTCCGTCTTCGCGGTGTTTGTGCACGCATCGGATAGAAGGGTAGCCTAGAGATGGGAGTTGGCGGCCCTGTCTGCACGAAGGCAAATATTGTATTACATGGGGAAGTAACGCGCGGATCGGCCACCATTGCAAATATTGTATTACATGGCAAATATTGTATTACATGGCCCTGTCTGCACGAAGGCAAATATTGTATTACTGGTCCGATCGCGAGGATTGCCTCGCGCTGTGGGCGGTCAGAGGAGAACCCCCTGACTCGCCGTGAGTAGGTCGCGCAGGTCCAGCCGGCCAGCTTTGACGGCGCCTGCAGAGTTCGGCCATGGCATCCACGGGTCGGGGCCGTAATGTGGACAAGCCTCCATATCCGTCTCCTGCTGGTCGCCGCGGTGGATGACGCTGAACTGCCCGCCTGAGGGCGCCGTCGTTGCCGATTTGCGTTCGCCGGTGTGTGAGACGCCCCCCCCTCGGCGTTGTGGTCCGCGATCACGTTGCGGATCGTTGCAGCCTTGCCGATGTCGCCTGTAGCGCGCTGCTGCATCTGGCGCGGTGCTCGCCGGCCGGCGGCGCTGCTCCCCGCGGTTCTGCCCGTGGAGGTCGCGGCCCACTTGGGCTGCGCAAGGTGGCGTCAATGCATTGCTCAACTGCGCATGGCCCTGAAGTCGACGAACTGTGGTCCAAGTGCCCCCAAGTTGGTGGCGCAGTCCCGATGCGCGGCTCGGTGGGTGGCAGCAGGTCGCATGCAGGTTGGGAGGTCCGACGTCGGCTGTAGATTCTGCTGGCTATGCGGGCCGCATTTGGGCGCGGGGGTCTAGTTGTCGATAAGCACGACCGTAGTTACCACTGCTTCGATTGCGATGTCCTTCTGTAGGTCGGCGACGAGGAACGGCGTCGGCACACATGCGAGGTTGCGCCGTATAGATATCTTGCTGTCCGCGAAAATGTCTGTCATGTCGCATCACCACTGCTTACACAGGCATGTCGTTGTGGCAGCGCCGCTTCGGGTAGGTCATCACGTTAGTCAGGCAGTGGTTGGCGTAGCTTCCCAAGCCCCTTTTGTCGGTGATTCGCGTAGAATAGGGCGCGCGCCGCGCAGCTCGCAAGACACGCAGTAGCTCTTGTGAGCCCCTTCCACGTACGCCAAGACGTGGTCGCATTCGATGCTTAGATCGTCGGCTGTTGCGCCCCTGTCGGCCTCTGCTGTGTCAGCCAAGTCAAGCATCTCGTCGCAGTGGTAGAAGATCGCGTCGTGGGTGCGCGTTTTGGACATCGCGCGCTCGCGCTCGCCTGGGTCGTTGCTGACCATGACAGCCAGGCGCTCGATAATGTCGCGCACGCGGTCGCTGGTCCTCAGTCATGCCGCCATGCCGCGCGGCAGTAGAGGCAGAGGTCGCTTTGCGAGCTCGCTGGTCGCATCTCGGACGCGTTCGGCGTCGTCGTCGTCGTCAGCCTCGAGGCTATTGGCTCGCGAATGTCCCCGGCTTAATCACGTTATTCCGTGGCGTCTTCGGCGGTAGCTTTGCAGGTGCCTCCTGCCATGGCCGAGGTGCGCTCGGTCGCTCGTCCTCGCTGCCGCATGCTGCCCGTAGCGTAGCGGGAGGCACGGCATATTCTTCGGTGGCGCTGACGCCCTCGCAGCGGACTCCCTCGGTGCCTCGCGGCGCCCAGGCTGGGCT